GTGCATCGGAGTGTCAGTCCAAACATTAATTGGAATGGCACTAAAAACAAATATGGAATGGAATCCACATATATTGAGAAGTTGGTTTTCGATAAGCGTGCTGTATTATCTAACTGTGTACCAATATGTAGATCGCACTATGAAAAAGAACTTCCCGGGTGAAACTCACGTCAAAGTACGTGAGCGAATACAAAGATGGATTCAGAAGGCCAGGGAAAAGGCACAACAAAGAGAATATAACAAAGAAAACCAACCAGAAGAATTGTCTGATGGCCACTGAATATAACCTGTACAGCTTTCTTGTCAAATACACATTTAAATGTGCCCTATATACAATTTCTTACATTAAAATAAGGGGTTCGGGTTGTAAACGTCATACGCAGGTTATTCAGCGATTAGGATGATGTAAAATAAGCTAACGTTGGTAGGGATTGCATTTAGGTATATCACGTAGTTTTCTTCAAATGTTTAGTCCTAGTCGTAAGTGAGCACGCGCGAGCTACTTGAAATGTAGGCAACACTTAATATAATGTAAGGAAGTCCTTTCGGGAGCCGTCTTATAGAGTCCCATTCGAGTCCTATCTGAGTCCTATACGGGTCTCATACGAGTCCCATTGGGGTCCCGTTTTGGGTGCAAACCGACTCCAATGGGACTCCCATATGACTACGCTTACGCTTGGCCTTGGGCTTTTAGTGTAAGCCATATACCATTCATTCGGGATGCAGGAAATGTAGTTCCCGAAGCATTAATTTGATCGTATGGACATTTAATCTGACCTTTATGGCTATTCGCCGACATATGTCCGTGGGATTTGCAGTTGGTAAACATTGTAAATCACTAACATGCACTTCAGGCGCACCTATGACAGCATCAAAAATAATTTATATCTAATAAAAATTGACCTTACAGTCATCAGACTCTTTCACAAATTGCACTTCTCAATTATAGACACTGAAGCGTCTTCGTGAGAAACCAATTGGTTCACTATCGTAAATGATGCACGAAATGATAAATATTGTCCATAAAACTGACTGGAATTATTTGCGGGTGATGTATATCCACAGTCTGCAGTTCAATGAAAACATTGTTGATAAATTTGATTGAACATGTCTTCCTATTGACTACCTAGAATAACCACGGGGATTGAAATCTGACATGGTGAATAATGGCAGACGCCGCTGGACATTCTCATGTGAAATTAGTTTATTTAAACAAACTGCGAGCTGACTTAACCGGTATTAAAATACACAATTTTAATGGTTTTTAGTACTTATTTTATCAGTCCAGTAATTTATTAGGTTCAATTTTCGTATTACATAAAATAAAGTATGTACAGTCCCGACGGGGCTCAAATATGACGCGAATGGGATGGTCCTGACAGGCAGTTTGCGACGGGACGCAAATAGGGCTCCAATCCGCCATTGGTTAACGCAGGGGTCCCGGCGGGATTCGATTGGGACTCAAATAGGACGGTCAACCGTCCCGCTGTGCGTACAGGGTATGGATAAACTCTGAACCGGTATACCGATTAATCTGTATCAAATACATGGGTTTTATTTATCGAAGATAATCTCTATTGAATCTCTCACAATAAACAGCGTCGCTAAACTTGGATGATTTTCTTATCATATCCGTAAACTTCGTCAGTTTAGAATTAGATATTCATCTCCAAGCTCGTGTATCAGTGTGTTTTCCACATTTGACTTTATTGCTTGCTCACTTTTTCTAGTCTCTCAAGCTTAATCTTTCATGCTGCTTCGACTTGAACTGACCGTCATTAACCGCATCTCTTCAATTCAGTTGAAAGAGTTGATTACTGATGTGTGCAACGTTATTTAAATGCATGTGAAAATTTTCCACATGAAAGTCTCACGGAACCCACACATCCGGTGCACAGATTTGATTTCCTCTCGTTCCCAGTTGTCAACTGGACTGCAATTTCTTCGTGTTCACTCTCGCATAAACATATATCGTAACTACACGGTACCCTGTTTAGCACGTATTTCGGTTAAAAAAACAGGCTTTCTCAGACTTTGTTAAAAGTTTCGGGGCTTAACTATTTTTCTTTTTCTCTGCTGTGTACACTTTAACTGAAATGTAGGCTTTACGCCTACAGAAGTTATTACTACATTACAATACAATGAAATATATACCGGTTATTTGGGTTTCCCACGAAAGGAAACACCACCCTAGGGCTATCCCCGATAGCCATTTAATAAGACATAATCTGAGGGCATCGGATGAGTGAATGTGAAATAGCAAACGACAGTTTCCAATAATAATAATGTGTTGTGATGGTTCTTTTTCGAGCTGGTTGACTAACCTCCAGATGTTTCATAATTGATATCCAAGTCACAAGGAATCAGCAAACCCAATGAAATAAATGAATCAATCGATTCATTTATTTAATTTTTAACGGCGAGTCCGAGTTTATAATAAAATGTTTAAAACTAAAAATGCTAAAAATGCTCAATCTCCCCTGAATATATACGTAAATATAACTTGGTAAGAAATGGTTTATTCGGCTGGTTCACATTACTACTTAACCAACTAAAATTTTTTTATGAACATGAGGCTCGTTAGGACTTACCACCAAAGGAAACTTTGTGTAACGTCGGTTTAACCGAGTTATTTTCATTAGTCTTGTAGTTAGTTTCTTTTTTATGGTCCGTCTGTGGTTTCTGTTCGTTTGAAACGCTTGCAACTGTTAAAGATTTTGCCGCTTCTGTTGTAGACGTAACACTATCCTTTGTTGTTTCCATTTCTTTTGTAGTTTCTTGAGGTAATTCAGAAATCATTTTTACAGCCTCCTTCTGCATTTCCGTATTTTTCAAAGCCTTATCGACAATAGTGCTCGTGCTGCTCTCTTGGTTGGTTGGTATTGTTGACGAATGTGCTGGCTCGGATGTAATCCATTCCGTAGTTGTAATTGATTCAGTTGCATAAGTCACTGCTTCCTCCTCATGGGGAATTGTGGCGTGAAGTAAGGCATCTCCTTGTTCGTCTTTTTTATTTATACTCGATTCGGTCGACAAAGTCTCAGATTTTACCTCATTCGTTGTTGTTTCCTGCGGACGAACAATTTCAGATGGTTCTGCTGCCTCAGTAGTACTTGCAGACGGGGTTTGAGGGTTGGTAGGTGTTCCTGTGTTATCTTCACTAGAATCAGTTGTTTGTTTCAATTGCTGTTCAGATGTACTGCTTCCTTCGAGGACTGGCGTAGCTATAGCTGATGTGATCTGTGCGGTTTCGGGATGTAAAGGAACTTTTGCTACATCAGCTGCAGAGTCAGAAGTTTCTGTTGTGTCTGCGTAGGTTGGAATAGCAGATGAATGGCTTAACAATGACACAATTAAAACGAGCCCGTAAACGCCGGTAAGAGGCGTGTAAAATATCTTGCTGTTTCTCATCGCCCTTACTACACACACTACATGAAAAGAATGTGACGGGCGATACAGCGGATCATTCAAACTTCTAAGTATCGATTTGAACACAGTCGCGCTCGGATCGATATCTGCCTTGATCTGACTCAGACTGTCCGTCTTGCTTGTGCAAAGACCACGCTCGCGTATGATAAATGTCGTGTCTCGAAACCAGGTCAGATAACGATGTGTGATTTCCGGCAAGCAAGCATGTGGCCATGCTAGGACAATGCTGCCACTTTTTTCATTCAGTTGGACATGAGACAACGTGGCTGAGCAACTGAGCAGCGTACAACCATTCCAGCAATAAATTATGCTGAAGACAATGGAGCCCTCAAGAAAGCATTCATACAGATTAATACACGCGTTACTTTGAGAATAAATCAAATTAGCTTCATAGACCATGCTAAACCGATGTTTCATCAAGACAAAACAATGATATTTGAACAATCTGCAGAAAAGCAGTAAAAGCAGAACAACGCCATTGTACGTTACTATAATTATCATTAGAGGGAGCGAATATTGGAGGTTTAAAACCAGACGGACGAGGGAAAATACAAAGTAAGATCGATGAGGTGTCCCTATAGGGACACCTCATTTATATTTTCGTAATAAGCTCCATTTTTTCACGGAGATTCTGCCGCGGCTGTGGTTGACTACTTCGCTATCCCAACGCGCCTGATTTTGTGGCTAATAACTTGAAACATTAGGGAAATGAAATTATCTGAGCACTTCGGGACACATCCGTCGTTTTCTAAACTCAGAAGCCATGCCGATTGGAATCACATGGAATCACAAACAAACCACGACAATATCGTGGATTCCGATAGATGCATTCTCGGATGAGTTGTCAGTTAAAGCAGTATATCAGGCATTCTCTTTTGTCGGTCGTTTCTGCATATTTTAAGTGCTACCTTCCACTTGGATAGTATAGCATAGCTTTGCTTTTACTGCCAGCAATTCTAACACGGAACAACGGTTACTGGCTCATTCCTAACCTGCTTTCGCCGTTCATTTTCAAAATTACAGGCTGTCAGCTCGCTGTCCATGATGCGTCAGACCTAGTCAGCACGAGCGACACCGTTTGGTCACCAAAAACGCATCGTTTGGTCACGCGAGAGTTACGGTTTAATCACCGATTAGTAACCATCGTAAAGGATTGGTGACGATCGGTGACTCTCAAAAAAGATTCGGTAACGATTCATCGTTTCATTTAAACAAATTAAAATCTAAATCGTAAGAAAACACTTGCAAATGGAGTAAAGGATTAAAATTAGACTACTTAGAAGGAAATTAGAACATTCAAGACAGTTTAGTGGGCCAAAAGCATTGCAAACGCAAAATTAACAAATTAAAAAAGTAGATTTTTATTTAATGAAAAATGTCGATTTATGGCAAATGGATTGCTATATCATGGATTTTTTTAACAAAATGGACTAATTTGAATTTTCAGAATGGAAATGCGCAACATTTTTTCACTTACATATAATTTATCATATGCCCCTCGGTGATGCTCGAGTGTACTCCTGTGCTGAATGGGGAGCTTCCAACATGGTCCTAGTAACAAGCCAAGTTGTGATCTGACACCATGATTAAGTCGAAATTTGAAGTCACACACTAGGACGACCTACAAAAGGCGTACAATTCAGTTGTTAGTGTAACACTGGCCACGTTAAGCATGTCACCACTTATTTGGATAGGGTGTGATTGGTGTGTATTTTCACCAAGCCTTTTGGTGAATGGCTGTTCGTACTTTTCCTGTCTTGTGGGTGTCCTCTTTCACGACGAACCTGCTGATCAAAGTGTCGACAGTGGTCAAGCGTCTAAGATCACAAACTTATCACCCCGAGGTACGTGTGTTCGAATTTCACTCCCGCTTCCGGCACCGCCTAACTTTTTCGTTCTACTAGCTTTCCCGGGGCAGCGCCTCAATGACCGCAGTCCACCCGTTCTTGAAAGTTGGCCATTTCTGTTCATCGAGAGCCTTTGTGATCGACCGCGTTTACGAAGTTTGGTTTGACATCTTCGAACAGGATACATTCTGATGTATGTTTTTCGACGTTATTTACACCACAAATCGGATCCTGCTGAACACTAAAAACCTGCCATATATCACAAACCTATGGCAGCAGTGGACCTAGTCCTGCATGTTACAGTTAGCCTGCATGTAGACGAATCAGATAGCGCAAACTGCCAAGTGGACACCGTTTCGCACTGGGCTTGAAAAAGATCCATGAATTCTTTGAAGTGAAAACCGCGGAATCCAGAGACTTGCCAGAACAATCAATACATTTCAACACGCTAATTCTCCTTCGTTTCATCTTGAATACTGTTACCGTTCTGATGTTAATGCCACTTCTGAAACAGTTTCTTCTTTCCGTTGTTTAAGTGCTCTCAAACTGAACAGAAAAATTCATAATCTTGAGGTTGTTCATTGCGACAACGAACTCGCAGGACTCGCATGAGGACTTTGAAAACATACATAGAGTGCTGTTGTAAAATACCATATGAATCATTTTGAGCTTTTTCAGTTTTGTCAATTCGTGCAACCATTAACCATGCACTATCGTGCGCCGGTTTTGGTTGAAGTCTCCTTTGGCTGCCCATTTGGATGAAAATAAGAGAAAGACAGGAAAGGTTAAAAGTGTAGGATCAAAGAGGAAAGTTAGCATTTCAGTGGACTAATGTTACAGAGAAATGGAGAAAATGCACGCACGCTATTGTTTGCGACACTTAGCCATATCACTCAGTGCCTCTAACCCTCGGTTAAGATCATCCCGAGGTCCCCAGTCAGGGAGCCGAACGGCACTTGCACTGTAACTTGGATCAGAATAATTTGGAGGTTATCCTAAATGATTTTCAATCCACCAACCGTTCGACGATTAAATTAGAAAGAAAATAATCTTCCGTTTATGCTGTGCGGGCACAGCTTCCGCTGAGGCCCCCCTAGCTGGGGTCCCAAAGATTCAGATTGTCTTTAGCTGGAGACACTGCAGGATATGGCATCGAACCGAAATGAATGACGTGAATGCATCCTTTCCTGCGTGAGATAACAAAAATAAACAAACGTAAAAAAATGTTATTCCCCCAAGTTGACTGTTTTTGTTTTCCTCTCTTATGGTTCTATGTTTCTCGTTAACCCATGGTGATTTTGGTGTCGCATCTGTACAGATTGGCGTTATATTTATATCAGGGTTGACGCCGAGACCTGAAGAATCATATTTTTCGTTTTACGCCATCGCGAAGAAATTATCTGTAATGTTTGTAATGGTACTAGTAGTACGCACGGAATTCGGAATACAAACCGCGCAATATGAATTACAGGACCCAAATCAATA